TATATATATATATATATATATATATATATATAGTATAAAGATTTTATTTGTTTGGATGGTTTAGATATATATCACCTTTTAGGTTGTATCGGAGCCAGAAATCCAACAAAAATAACATATTTATTGAAATTTCACTAGGGAAATACTGGAGAGGAGTAGAATGCAGGAAGCCTTCTACCTCGTGGAGATAGAAAAACTATTACGAAGACAGAAATTCAATTAAGAAAACCTTATTTTGAAAAATAATACTATGTCATCGTATAATTTAAACCTAATGCAATTTTAGAACTTCATCTCGCTTATATCAAGGGAATTCAACAGATAATATATAACAAAAATAATTCATTTATGTCCAATTCGTGTTATATGATATTTGCTTGAAAAAAGACGATTAAGTTGAACCCCTTTGAATTCCTTTAGCGCATCTATTATTTCTAAATTATCAATTATTGTTTATTGTAACTATGTACATGTATAAACTTAATACTTAATTTACTTGTGTAAATATCTTTTACATAAAATTAATCTTGATTAGTATATATATAAGATGAAAGTTTGTTCTTATTTAATTATGTATAAATAACCAAATGATATTATATGTGTTAATTAACAAAGCTTACGTGTAGACACGAAAACAAGATAATGCAACACTAAAAAAAGTTAGAAAAAGATAGTAACTAAATTAAAGCAAAAATAAAATAAAATGATTAAGTGGGAAACTATAGTTTCTTTTCGGTGCAAAAGTGAATATTAGTTTGAATTATGTTCATACAACATAATGGAAGGTCGGCTCTTTGCAATTAATTGTGATGTATGTGTGTTTTGCATATGTATTAATGCATCGATCGAGATAGATTTAAAATTTAAATTTATTTTGGTTGAAATATTAATCAGTTGATTACTCAAATTATTGAACTCAATATATTATTTGAGTGAAAATTACTGAGTCAGATTGAATCTGTATTTAAACTTATATATTTATCCTCGCCGCTGCCAAAGGTTAGGGCACGACTACAAAAAATATTATATTTTGTTCACATGTTTAATGGGTAGATATTTTGATTGAATCGATGAGAAAAGAATAATAGTGATATTCTCAGGTAGAAAAATTAGGAAGTTTTTCACTATTTATTAGTATCATATATTTTTTTAGTGAGCTGGTTCGAGAAATGAGTAGGAAAATCATGTTCTGTAACATAAATATTTTCATGATTCACGATAGGAAAAATCTTTATATCTAGTAGTTGGGTGATATTAATAAGATCTCCATCATACTTAATCATAAATCTCAAGATTGTGTCAATCTTGATAAGAAACAATCTCTTGTTAATAACCTTACGTTACAAATTCAAATTAGTTGAAATATCCAAAACAAGCGAGAAATATATCTGATGAAAAAAAAATGATATGAACTATATATTTTCGAGCAATACAGAAAATAATTTGTTGCAACATATAAAACGTAGATTAGTTTTTACACCTTAGTTTGTGTGTAAATAACATTTTTTTTATATTTCGTATAACAAGGACTACTTTCTTTCCTTTTTCTTTGTATTTAATATTTGATAACAATTGAATAGAACATAAAATTGTTAATTGTCGTCAAATTAACTTTAACATGAAATAATATGATATGAATAAGGTGGAATGATATAATTATACTATATTTGAACTATTATTAGAAGAAGATTTGATGCAAACTAATGTAGGGCTCTAATGAATTATTAAAGTGGAAGACAATTGGATGATATAATAGAAAGAAAAATGAGAAAGATTAGTTTAGATTGGATGCTTTTTTTGTCTTATAATAAATATACTTTAGTGACATTGAGGGTTGTAGTGATCTTATTGAAAGAAATAAAGATAAAAAAAAAAGATTATTATTTTCAATCATAATAATCATATATTTCAAAATTCCATGTGGCTATACTTTAATTTCATTTTATTCATAAAAAAACTATATCACATAATAAATTAGTATAAAAACAACATAATTATGTAAAGTAATACTTTTCTTAAATTTCGATTCTAGAATTACTGATTTGCTATTGTAAAAATTCGAGCACTCGAAAGAAGAGGAAAAAAGGAAAAATAAAGAATATATTTTCTTTGTGTTACTAATATGAAATAATGATCGGACAGAGAATCATCATTTGTCAGGTTCAAATTCAATAGACGCACGAAAAATAAATTTGGTGACTTCTTGACTTTGTTTAAGTTTTAATGAATATAATTACTCAATATTTATACTGATGAAAAATAATGCATAAGCTAACTCGGATACCTCGATTATTTTAAAAAAAAGGGTTTCTTCTAAGAGCTTTTTGACACATGAGTAGTACAAAGTGAAACAACTCTTGAAGTGGTTGGTGAGGCAAAAGAACTTGGAAAAAATCAATCTCATTCCCACAACTTTTTGTCTGATTATGAAACAAAAAAAAATAACTTAACCCCTATAGTACTCATAGCTAGCTGTTTTTTTATTTATAAATTATATTCTTTTTTTTTTGGAGGGCCCAATAATTTCTCCTTCATTAGTGCATTTTTAAGTGATGTAGACATCCACTTTATTAATTTAATTAATCAAGAAATTTTTGAAAAAAATAATTGTTTTGTCACCTTCCACTCAAGTTCTTATATGAAGCAATATTTATTTATTTATAGAAGTTAATAAAAAGACAAAAGGAGAAGACTCATCATATATTATTATTTAAATACTATATGCTAGACAATATAATCTTTATAATAAAAGATATTGTGGTTTACTTTTGTCTCAATCTATAAGTTCAAACATCACTTGGTGAAAGCTAGCTAGCTCCCTCTAAGTGAGGCAATCATGCTAAATTGATGGAACAAATTAAAGTACCTTTCATAGTAGATAGCTTGCTATATTACTTCACATCCAACAAAATAAAAGCCCCACTTCTATGAAATATTGGATAACTTAACCAATTACAAGAAAAAGGTGTTTTACCCACACCCCACACACACGAGATCTGAATTAACTTGCTCATATCTTGTTAATGTTATGAGATATCTATTATCTTCCATCAATTACAAATATCAAGTAAGTATTTTATCAACACTTGGACAGATGAAGAGAACACCACCTTTAGTGAGATTTAAAGTGTTTAATCGATCATGATTCGTAATACACGTGATCATTAACCTCTAAGTAGGAGTTAGATCTAGAAGTTAATGTACAAGTTTTTTTAGTTTAAATTTTATATTTGAATAAATTTTTTTAATAAAAA